GATCCGTCCTGGGTGAGATTTTGGGGCGATCTGAGGGGATTTGGGGGCTCAGGGAGGGATTTGAGGGGGTTTGAGGGGGATTTAGGGGGGATTTGAGGCCGTTTGGAGTGAATTTGGGGGATTTGAGGGGATTTGGGGACATTTTGAGGGGTCTGGGAGGGATTTTGAGAGGGATTTTTAGAGATTTGTTCCAGTTCAGGGGGATCTAGAGAAGATTTTGGGGTGTTTTTGGGGATTTTGGCAAGTTTAGGGGGATTTGGGGAGGTTAAATGCAGGATTTGGGGTGAATTTTGTAGATTTGAGGGGGATTTTTGTGTTCTGGGGGGATTTGAGGGGGTTTGGGGTCAATTTTGGGGGAGATTTTGGGTAGTTTAGGGTGCTCTGCAGAGGATTTTAGGACGTTTTGGGTGAATTTGGGAAATTTTAGGCTGGTTTTGGTGCATTTTGAGCCATTTCCCCTTCATTTCTCCTGGAATTTCCCCCGTTTTTGGGGGTTTTGGGACCTCCCAACCCCATTTTTGGGGGGTCCCGACCCCCCTCTGACCCCCCAAATTCCGGCAGCGCTTCCTGGATCTCAAAACTCACACAGAACCCCAAATTCTTACTTAAATTCACCCAAAATTCACCCCAAATTCACTCAGGGTTCCCCAAATTCACCCTCCTCACAGTAAGACCCCTCCCCGAAATCCCAAAAATCCTCCCCCAAAAAACCCAAATCCCAAAAATCGTTCCCAAAAAAAATTCTGGATCCTAAACCCACCCCAAACCCCCAAATTCTTACTCAAATTCACCCAAAATTCACTCAGGACCCCCAAAATTTGCCTCCCTCATGGTGAGACCCTTCCCCCCAAAAAACCCAAATTTTCACCCCAAAATCCCCAAATTCTCCCTTAAATCTCCGGTTTTCATCCCAAAATCCCCAAATTCCCTCTAAAATCCCCAAATTTAACCCGAAAATCCCCAAATTCCCCCTAAAATTCCCAAATGTTCACCCCCAAATTCCCAAATTTCTCCTAAAATCCCCAAATTTTCATCCCAAAATCCCCAAATTCTCCCTAAAATCTCCAATTTTCACCCCAAAATCCCCCCCAAAATCCCCAAATTTCCCCCAAAATCCCCCAATTTTCCCCAAAATCCCCAAATTTCCCCCAAAATCTCCAAATTCCCCCAAATCCCTCTCCAGGACCCACCAAATTCCTTCCAAAGCCCCAAAAATCCCCAAAATTTCCCCCAAAATCCCCAAATTTCCTCCAAAAATCCCCCAAATCCCCCAAATTTCCCCCAAAAATCCCCAAATTTTCACCCCAAAACCCCCAAATCCCTCTCCAGGACCTCCCAAATTCCTTCCAAAGCCCCAAAAATCCCCCAAATTTCCCCCAAAATCCCCAAATTTCCCCCGCAGGAAACCGGGGATCTCCTTTTGGCCTCGACCTTCGCGGCCTCGGCCACCTGCAACGGGGTCCTGCTGGCCCAGGTGCTGCTTTTGGGGGGCTCCCGGGACCCCCACCCCAAAAAGGAGTGACCCCAAAACCCCCAGCGCCCCAAAAAACCCCAAAATCCCCCCGAAAATCCCCTCAAAATTGGGATTTTTGGGGGCTTGGAAGGGGATTTTGGCTCTGGGAGCTCAGCTGGAATCAGAGCCAGATTTGATGGGAGCCCCAAAACTTTCCTGGGACCCCTCAAAATTCACCTGGGACCCCAAAATCTTTCGGGGACCCCAAAATTGGGATTTTTTTAGGATGCAAAGAGGATTTTGGGGTGGTTCCCACAATCTGGGATCCTAAAATCTCACCTGGGATGATCCCGAATTTTTATGGGACCCCCAAAAAACCTTCCCAGGGTCCCCCAAAATCTCGGGACCCCAAAATTCCCCCCGGGACCCCCCAAAAAAATCCCTCGGACCAAGGTGGGGGAGGGGCTGCCCCCCCAGATAGGCGTGGCCAGAGCGCCCCTCCCTCTCTTCCCCAAATAAATTTGGGGTCCCCCCATTCCAGGGGGTCTCCCCCCACCCTTTTTTTGGTCGGTAATCAATTAATTATAACTGGTAATTAGCGATAATTAGGGCGGGGGGGTTGCTGAGGTGGTGATGGGGCGGGAAAACGCCGCTTTCCATTCATAAATCCCGCCTTCTGTTCATAAGCCCCGCCCTCCATTCATAAATCCCGCCTGCTGTTCATAAGCCCCGCCCTCCATTCATAAATCCCGCCTGCTGTTCATAAGCCCCGCCCTCCATTCATAAACCCCGCCTACCGTTCACAAACTCCGCCCCCCATTCACAAATTCCACCCGCCATTCACGAACCGCCTTGGCCACGCCTCCACGGAGCGTTCTCGCTTCTGATTGGCTGCCGCTCCCGCGATCGTTCCCACGCGTCCTTCCGACCCCAAAACCCCCCAAAATCTCCCCAAATTCCAACTCCCGGGGGGGTTTCCGTCTGTCGGGGGCCCCCAAATCCCACCCAGGACCCCACTAAAATCCCCCTAAGCCTCCAAACTCCGCATTTAACCCCGCAACCACCTCTCCCCCTCCCAAAAATTCCCTAAAAAGTCCCCCAAAATGTTGACTCCGAGGGGTCCCCCACCCCAAATTCCCCTCCCGGCCCCCCCCAATCCCGAACCTCCGGCGTCTCCATCGCTTTATTCCCACAATTCCATAATTTCTATGCAAAATACTCTCATCTCCCCTCCCCCCCCTCTTGGTGTAATTTTGGG